TGTTACCATTAACTTTTGACTGAATCTGTCAAACAAAAATAGACATAAAAACAAATGTAAGGTACGTGCAAACATAGCAAAATAAAATACAAAAAAAGAAATAATTAATGACAGGTTTTGCGCTTAATAAGATCAAGCAGCAGAAAATCATCAGTTAGATAATCGGTCTTATTAAATAGGTTTTACTTTGTAATTCCCCATATAAACAAAGAATAAACAACAGTAACACCACCAGATAAAACCACTGGGAAGAGATTACTCTTCTACACTTTTATACAGTATATGTGTTAATCATTCTGTCTTTCATTTAGTTCCTCTGATAAAACTGACTGCAGCAAAGTCGCAACAAGGCCATCTTGGCTAAAAGCTTGTAACATTAGACGTGAGTCTGGCTAATGCCCTGTTACAATTACAAAAGGGGAGGGTTTCTGAGGTTGTGTCTTTTCAGGAGGAAACGAGCCTCAGATTCTACAGTGGTTGACATTCACTGCCCAGTGCTGGCTGGCAGGTCAAAGTATGAGATATTGGAAGGAACATGTGGTTCTTAGGTAAAGAAGTTTTTGTTTTTTCTTTTCTTGGTCCACAGTTGAAATAGAAGATAATGTTTTTCCCTATAAACTTTTTTTTTTTTTTTTAAATAATTGCTTTTGACTCTTGTCTTGTAAACAGTTTGGCTCTGTTTTGTATTGAAGAGGAGATTGAGCCATCCCAGTGCTTTTCTAAAGGTAAAGGACATCCCTGATTGCCTTTAAAGGTCCATGTTTTGGCTCCAATTCCAGGTTAAATCATTCTTTTATACATGATCAGAGGCAGGTGTTCAGCTTTAAGTACTGTCAGACTTGAAGGAGATACATGGTGAAGCATGTTTCCTGCTTCAAGGAAACATATTGAGTTCTATTAACAATTCAAAAACTGTAAAAATGGTGGCATGGTAAAATACAAACAGTACTTGGAATTGTCAAACGTTTGCACTCCAGACTCCATGAACCGTATATTTTATTTTTTAAAAAATCATATTTATATCCATTTACATAAGACTTACACATTTAAAAAGAAATACATACACAGTAATCCATGAATGCCTAGTATATTACAATAAAACATGAAAAAAACAAGTGGCTTCATTTCATGAAAGCTTCTGTTGTACAGAATTTATGATGTGCATGATGCTTATTTTTCAAATGATTTAAGTATTTTATTACAATTATAGTAAACTAATCCAGCTTAATATCTGACTTGTCTCAAAATTACATTTTCGGCATAATGAACCATTAATTTTCCTTATTTCCTTAGAATTCAGTCTTCACAGAGGTTTCACTGCTCATGTTCTTTGACAGGAGTGCAATTTAGGTAGAGTAGACAGAAAAGACGACATCTAAAATTTTTAATGGATAGTGTTAGTTTATTGAAAAGTCCCAGACTAGAAAACCCCTTTTTTCCTTCATGCAGCCTGCCTACTCTCGTCCTAACACTAAGAAATAGTGAAAAGGCAATAACCTAAGGTCTAGCCAATAGCTGTACATAATTAACACTTGCTCTTCTCCAATTTTGTGCAGAGAAGCTTAATAAATGAAAAGAATTACTCAACTTTGTGGAAAATATGGCATAAATATAAACAAAGTTACTCATAAAATGTCAGCATGCCTTTTGAAAATTTTAAAACGTGCTAATTAACATATTGGGTTGAGTTCACCTATTCCGTGGAATAGATTTATATTCTAGTTCATATATTTCAGCGCTCTTAAAAAGATACCTTTGTTCCATTGTGACAAAGTCAAAAAGCTACTAAATATTTTAAAGGATCTGCGTCTGAGATGCGGCGTCTTTGATCCTTTCCAGTCATACTATCATTAAGAAAAGCTCGCAATTACTATTCCTGTACAAAAAAACCTGAGTAAATAATACGCCCTGAATTACTTTAATAACAAAAATATTTTTTTTTAAGCAAAAGTGAAGTTGGTTGCCCAGAGTTTACTTATTATAAATAAATACTTTTATCCATTCCAATGGTGAAAACCAAGAAATATGAACTAGAATGCCATGCACGAAATACAGATTGCAAATAGAGGAATTCTACCCATCAGTCATGAACTAAAAAGCAAGCACTGCTGAGCATATTAAGTAGTCATTTGTAAATTAGTGAGGTACACAGTTACCAGGGAAATTATCATGTTATGTGTAGAAGCTATTATAAACAGTATTTTTGAAAGCCTCTTATTCAGCCAAACTATTACATACTTGAGATAGTGCCTAATTAGATGCCAAATTTATACCATAATTAAAATTTTTAATTTTAGGCTTATGCATTCTGAAATGAAATCTCTTATCTAAATGCTTTTTTTTTTTTTTAAATCATCATAAGCTTCAAATAATGACCCAAATAAGGCAGCATAACCAGCACCAATACTAGGCCTGAAAGACCAATAATAAATTGTGTGGAGCTTTTAGTTCAAGTCAATGAGTAAATAGTGCAAGGTGAGCTGTTCCCCTGCCGACAGCTGCTTCCTCTCCCTAGCTCTCTGCACACGTGTGGTTCTAAATATTGCTCTAAAAAGTATTTTTCAAAAATTTTGATTCATTGAAAATGGTAGAATATTTTGGCAGAGCAGTTTTGTTTTCATTGTTGTTTAAAAAGAAAGTTTTGTGAGCATTAGTACATTTATAAATCTAGGAAACCATGGTTTTACTAAGACTGCTTTATATGAATTTGAAAGTAACTTCTGTCAATATGTCTCTAAACACAAATGCCTTGTATCATAGGGTTATACTGGTGAAGTTTTGTGCTAGTCCTTTGCCCTAGTATTATAAAATAATGTTACTTTGTTTCTATATTGAGAGCCACAGATACCTAAAATTCATGTTTTTTTCAACCAATGCAAATTGCATTGATGAAAATCAACACACTAAAAGTTCAAAATTTCAACAGTTACGACTCTGGTTTCTTAAAATGAAACCATATCCAAATCATTTTCTTGTCTCTGCCACTGTTTACTTTGTGAACTGCTTAAATCACTATCTGCTTTCTCCAGCTCCCCCTAAAAAAATATTCACTTAAAAATATATTGTTTGGTGTCAGACTCTCATCAATAAAATGCTATATGAATCCATATAAAATATTACCAAATAGTAGAAGACAGTGTACAAGCAACCCAGGGATGTGGAGTAAGCGAGTGACAGGCCTCCACCAGAGAGTTAAACCATAGCAGACAGAAAGTGATAGGAAATACGAGATCAAGTTTCAATACAAAGATTCCTTTCCCCACCTAGCAATGCAAAGGGGTTAGTTATCTCACTTCTGTACTGCCAGGCCGTAGCAAAGACTACAGTGTTTATTTACTAGGCTATATAGGTTCCAGTTTTCTGTTGGTTTGCTTTTTGGCAGTCAAGGGAAACTACTCACAGCAGGTCAGTGCTGCCTCCTTTGAGTGGCTTGTCAACATGAGTATGTGCGAACAGTGGAGTTGTCTAACCTCTGCAGTCTTGATGAAGCAACTAGAAATGGAGAAAAGGGCTTTAGCGGGACTCAGATGATTTGAGTACAGAGTTTCAGATGAGAAAGATTTCTTTCCCCTGCATAAAGGGGTCCTGAATATACTAACAGACTTTCTCTCAGATGTAAGTCACTCACATTCCTCTACTCTAGACCAAACTACTAATGAAAAATTATTCCAGTGCAAGTCAGCTGAGCTTTTAAATTGCTGTATATTCCTACTTAGATGACATGTATGATAAGAGCAGCTCCCCAGGGTGCTTCTGTTTTTGAAGCAAAGATTGTTCTTAGAGAACTCAGTATGGTGAGTATCTTTTTCCTTCAAGTATTGAATATCTTTAATCGTGTTAAATTCCTCATGAATTTTGCTAACATGTTTCACAATAGTTAACAGGTTATAAGAAATGCAGATCGAAGATCAAGTTTTATGTTGGAACTAATTTTTGGCTGTATAGCTATGGCCTTGAAGAGAAATAATGATTCTATGTGATTATTTTAATAAAGAGAATGTGTGCTTTTTTTTCTTTAATGCCTATCAAGCAGAAATAACTTTTGACTACCATTTTAAAGTTTTATCTCCTCACAATGGCTGTTTTTTCTTTGTGAA